GAAGGCCTGGCCAAATCCTGGTGTGCTTTCTTTGTGTTCTACAGCCTTCATATCAATACTGCCCGAGACCCGATAAGATACTAAGTACGAAACAGTCGACTCCAGTCTGCCCTCAGTCAGTTTTTGAAACATCCCCTGGGGCCGGGTGACTTCAAGGAAAACTTTGCTGACATAAACTATGAAAGAGTTGAGAAAAACCGTCACGTGGTGTTCAAAAAGAGGGAAGACAAAAGAGCGCTAAAAACGAGAGATGCAACCATCAGCCAGGATTCAGGTGGGAGTAAGAAAAATGCACTGGCTCCTCTGAATGTCAGCAGGATGCCAACACAGGCTTGGGCTGAAAAAATTGATAATACCCACCATAGAGGAACGTCACGCCTAGAAGTTACCTCTGGTGAATAAACTGTACCAAGCCTCGCTATCTTTTAATGCCTGATTACGAATTCCAGTATCGCGTCGGGCTTGGGCGAATTACAATGGTGTCTGCACCTCAAAGAGTGAGCGAGTGAGAGACTCACTTGCATTTCGCAGTCGCCTCAAAACTCGTTCCTACGCTTCGCGTACCACAAGTTAAAAAGACTGGCGAAAAACATTTTCAAAACGTTTCTAAAGGCCAAAAGCGACCAATTTCTTCATCAAAAATGAAGTTAAATAATTAAATCCTCGCAAGATCGGCAAGATTAGTGTGACCAGAATTTGATTTAAGATACAAACAATCCATAATCATGCAAGAGCGAAAAAATATTGTAAAAGAAGGAACGAGGGGGTACACATAAAGAATTAATTATCCCTGCCTTCGCAGGTCGCGTGACACGACTCAGACTAGCTATGTTGCAACAGTGTTGGGCGTCTCTCTGTGGTTTTCGCTGTCTGTCACAAAAGAAAGAGAAAAAAATTAATCAACGCATTAGAAACTAATAAGCAAGTCATATAAAACGTCCTTTACCATGTTTAGATGTGCGAGCTCCGGTCGACCTAGGGAAAGGTTACATCAAGTAAGGGATTATGCAGCCGCGCAGGGTGATTAGAAAAATTAAAGCACTTTTCTTGCTGTTACCTAGATCCTGATATCCTCTAGGAGAGTATCGCTATCAGTCTCTTAATGTACTATTTCAAAAACTCGTGCATCGGGTTTCATCAGGGTTTCCAGACACGAGAAAACTGATGAAAGCACAGGGCCGCAGACCGAGTGCCTTTATTGTTTCGAGTGTTTGGAAACCCTGATGAAACCCGATGGACGAGTTTTTGAAATAGCTTCTCAATTGCGCCTCAGGAATAAAAGAAAATGGTCATATTCACGAATTTTTTCACATGCTGTCAGCAAGTTTGTTATTTTAATCTGATCAAGAAACGAGTTCCCTAGAGTTTGGTGCTTTATCGAACTCAACCAAGGATTTGATATTATATGAAATTCGTGGATAGCGCGTCACTCCAGTGTTTCACTGGAGTTTTCAAACCACATGCACGTGACGAAATTGGCGTGTCTTAGTTGGATTATCAACTTATGAATAATTAATGAGTTTGAGAACTTTAATTCACTGCTTCGCTATGAAGCATTGCATACGGTGCTTTAAAAAGATAATTTCAATAATTCTCGCCAGAGACAAGCCGACAGACATGAGAGCGTGACCCTCGCTTAATGGCGGTGTTAATTTTCTCGGATGTTATTGATCATTTTTCGGAAACTTAACATTTTGTCTTAATATGCAAGGAATGTTATTCTGTCAGTCAATGTGATTGGTTGGTTGCGTCAGTGGATTAAACTATTTTCATACGACTTGAAATGATGATTTATTACACCTGAGTCAGCACAGGCGTTCTTAACGCAAGTTGCCGTGCTTAATTCAAAGATGAAATCCAGTTTCATTTTCCTGCTCGTTTTAAATCTTAGCTTGGTGGCCGTGAGGAGGAGCGCTGCGGCAGGTTTGTCAACTCATTTTGTCTTCATCGGAGCGAAAGTTTCAAAATGAGACGTCTTTTAATTGTAAATAGTATATTTATATCAATAGATCGGCGTTTCTGCACGGTGCGGTCTGTGTCACCTCATCCTGTATAAGTACAAAACAACCGTCAAAGCGTGGAAAATGAGTGCGATTTATGGCGATCTGTTGGGTTACGGTCGCGAATTTTATTGATGTTTACTGGGGTTTTTGCAATGTGAAACTCGAGTTGAAGCGAAGGTTTTTACGTGAATTCTGTATTAATTCGTCGCGTACAGATTCAATGAACACTCATAAAATAAACTGGTATAATTGCGTTTTGTTTCAAAGCTGACGGTATGTTTCGAGTCGGTCTCGAGCTCCATACCATGATCTCATTTTGTAATTCTCTATGCGGTTTGCCATACATTTCTTATGACGTTAGTTCGGAGAATTTGGTATTGGATCAAATAATAATCCCCAAACTGATATCTTTCTTTATTCTCATCATTTGTCTGCTTAATATTGTATTAATAAAGTAATGAGGAATTCTGTCTTGGTCACTCTTGGGAGATAGAACATCATTGCTAAAGTTTGCTGCTTCAATCTCAAGTAAAATAGTAACTGCAGTAGATTTATTCACTAAATACTAATATATGCTATACTTCTTCTCACTCTGTCTTAAAAAAAATCCTAAATTTTTCAGGCTGTCTTTATCACTGCTAATCTCCCTCTTTCCTTAAATACAATTTTTTTCCTTCCAGATCAGACTCCATGTATCACGGTCAATCTCTGTTGCACTCAGACATATACCTTGAAATCGGAAAATATGCTGGGAAAACATTTTTTTCTCCCGACGGAGATGAATTATAAAATGTAACTTTGATTTCAACAACGCCCAAGGGTTAGGAAATGAAAGGACATGTTTATTGGGTCAGGGCTTTCTAGGGCATCTAAGAAAACTCTCGCAAATAGCTTGTTTACAGTGGTTTCATAATCAAAAGACCAAAGAACCATAAAGATCCTTTTCTGTTGATGACGCTGCAATACAATGCTTGGTGAGGTCTAAAGTCCGTTAAAAACAAGAGCAAAGGTCGTGATCAGTAAATTAGTTGTAGCTTAGACTTGACTTAGCATTGACTGCTACGATCTGAAACAACACGAAAGCGAGAAGTTATTTTATTGCCTGTGTTGCAATCTCCGAAGGTACATTGGTCGTAATGAGCATAAATTTCTAGCATGTCCACATTGCTAGGTGTGCTGATAATTGCCCACTTTCTCTGAACAAGGCTTCTTTCCTACCAGGCCAGGCTGCATGTATCATGTTCAGTCAGTGTTGCATCAAGACATAAACCTTGAAATTGCATGGAAAATAGGATGGGAAAAGTTTTTCTTTCTTCTTTGTCTATAAATTAAAGCCAGTGAGAGCGCTAACACTTCAAATAAGAAAAATAAATGCAAATAGCTCAAAATAGCTATAAGCCAGAAAGGAAAAATTAAGTACAAAAAAATGTAAATTGGATCTCAACAATGTCAAAGGGTTGGGAAATTAAGGGGCGTGTTTATTGTGCAAAATCTTTCAAGGGCATTCAAGAACACTCTCGCAAATTACATGATTACGATGGTTTCATATTCAGAAGACCAAAGAACTGACCAATAAGATCCTTTTCTGTTGATGACACTACAATACAATGCTTGATGAGGTCTAAAGTCCCTTAAAAACAAGAGCAAAGATGGTTATCATTTGTGCGATCGACTCACAAATGTTTTTGTCTGTAACTTCGTCTGTAACTTTTAAGTAGCTTACTAAAAAACATTGACTGCTACGATCCGACGAACAACACGAAAACGAGAAGTTATTTTATTACCTGTGTGGCAATCTCCGGAGGTTCCTTGCTTGTAAAGAGCATACATTTCTAGCATGTCATCGTTGTGTTCTTTCATTTTTCACCAAAAAATAACGTTTCCGCAGGTTCCGTGGTCTGCCGATCCATTGTTACGTAAGACATGGAACTTAATAGTTTTATCTAAATACTGTTAGGAATGTACTTTGCGGTCAATTATTTCGGGCTAGCTCTCGCGTTAGTGGATTAAACTTTGGTCAAACAGAAGAAATGACTCATTCCAGAGCTAACATAGACTGTTGAGGAGTCGCACTATTATTTCAAATCGCCGTGCTTAAGTTAAAGATGAAATCCAGTTTCGTTTTCCTGTTCATTTTAAATCTTAGCTTCTTGGCCGTAAAGAGGAGTGCTGCAGGTTTGTGAACTCATTTTGTCTTTATCGGAGCGAGATTTTTAAAATGAGACGTAAATATCGATTGGTGTTTCTGCCACGATGCAGTTTGAGCCATCCCGCGTAAGTAGAAAACAATCGTCAAAGCGTGGAAAGTCTTATCCAGGCAAAATTTGGAAAAGCCCAATCTAAGTAGGTAAAATAATCCTTGTAAGGCAATCAGTAAAAAGCGCATCATCTCGCCTGGTTTCTACGAATCTTCAACTCTATCAGCTCTTACTTTGAGAAGATAAATTTTTCCGAGTTTTGGGGAAATCGCGACCTCAGAGCATGTATTTACGATATTGCCATGTATTATCAGGAAATCTTCAGACATTTTGACTGACTTCGCGGAAGAGGTCGAGAAAATATTTTCCAAGACTTCGAAACCGGAATTTCGAAGGCAAGATCGCATTGAGCTAGAAGGAACTAAATCTCATGAAACCTTCCGCTTATGCTGAAGCGACAAAGTTTCGATTCAAGAGCGAGGGACTAAATTTCATAAAAACCTTCTGCTTATGCTGAAAATGCATAGTTTCGCTGCGAGAGCGATGAAAATCAAACTTTCTTCTTCTAAATTTCTGTCTCCATTTCTTCTCCATTTCTGTTTAGTTCAACTAAACAAACTAATGGCAGAGCTTTAAACATCCGTTTGCCACAAAGTTAACACTATTTCTATGATTACTTCAAAGTTAAAAGTTTCCATTGATTTACGATACAGTCGAATATCTCCATTACGGACATCGAAGATCAGAACGAAGAATTTGTAGTATAAAGACAACCAAATTGACGTCACCAAGTTTAGGAGTGTCTAATAGCTATAAGAGTTGACGTTTCGAGCGTTAGCCCTTCGTCGGAGCGAATAGAGGAATTGTGGGTTGTGTGTGCTTTTAAAGGCAGAAAATGGAGCTACGTTATTGCGGGGGGAACATGGCAACGAGAAAAACTCGAATAACTTAATGGAATGAAAAGCGTTCGTTGATCCCTGTGGGATTTAGACTGCAGGTTTGAAAGATGAGCTTTTGTTAAAGAGTTTTACGGCTTTCCGTGCTACCTGAGTGTAAGGAAAGACCGCAGATTCTTATATGTTGTTTAGAATGATTAGGTAAATTAAAATGTCTAGCGATTGGTTTCGATGTGTCCTTGTCATTCTTTTCCACGTCTCGAAGGTGTTCTCGGAATCGGTCACCTAGTCTTCTGCCTGTTTCTCCGATGTATATCTTTTTGCAATAAGTGCAAGTTATGCAATAGATTACATTGGCGGAGGTGCACGTGAAGTGATCGGTGATCTTAATGGATCGNTTAGGCAGCACGGAAAGCTGTAAAACTCTTGAACAAAAGCTCATCTTTCAAACCGGAAGTCTAAATCCCACAGGTATCAACGAACGCTTTTCATTCCACTAATCTATTCGTGTTTTTTCTCGTTGCTATGTTCCCACCGATAACGTAACTCCATTTTCTGCCTTTAAAAGCACACGCAACCCACAATACCTTTATTCGATTCGACGAAGGGCTAACGCTCGAAACGTCAGCTTTTGTAATCGTTATGGTGGCCAATTTACCATTTCAACTTTGTTGATATATCCAAATTATTTCGTAACCCCCTCCCCCCCCCGCCGACGCAGCCCCAATCAGTTTCTTTAGAAACTGTCAGTCTTTTCCCTTAGTTGGGGGTGGGGAGGGAACTTAAGGAAAGGCGCTGTGCCCACCCCACCCCCAATTAAAGGGAAACGCCCTGGGAACGAGGTTGATTTACAGCCTGTGGTGGGGCCGGAGATGGAGGATTTTAGGGAGGATCACATGGTTTTCAGGGGGTGGAGGGACAGACGGGGGCTCAGTCATCACTATCAATGTATAAAGGGGTGACTATTAAAAAAATAAATTTCAAGCAACGGCTGGGGGGGGGGTGATTGGGAGGATCAAAAGAATATCTAAAGCCTTAGGGGGGATCAGGTCAATTTTATCATGACACATTCAAAATCCTCACCTACTCCTCCCTTCCCTAACCCCAGTTGATGAATAGAGTGGCGGTCCCTAATAAACACGCACATATATATATTTAGATTTAATTCAATTTCTGTTTACTCTACAGATAGATGGCAAAAGCAGAATTTCGCACCAGTGTGTTTTGGCGCAAAGAACGAAGAGTTTGGCAAATTCCATATTAAAACAGCTGATAAAAAGCTGGCCGCTGTGAAGTTGGTTCACTTGTACGGGTACGTGACCTGTGACAAACGTTATGTCTCCTATTGGTCCTACTGGGGCTGTGGCTCGTACTTCTATGTACTGGGCAAGATTAATGTTGTCATAACAACGGCGACTAAGGATGTTCTGTTGCCACCAAGCCAGTTCATCGTACATAATGGAGCTAAATGGTCCAAGGTTCCTGGATATAACTCCCTTTCCCCAGAGTTAGTACTGTCCTCTTTCAGCCCCTCCCTCGTCAGCTACAACCAAGAGCTACAGGTGTGGTATGGCGAAGATCTGACGAATGCTCTTGAGCGAGACAATGGAGGCACCACTTGCGTTGATGTCTATGCAATTTTCGTCTAAGCTTTCACTGAGCAGCAAGCAGCCATGAAAAGGCTTTGCATCGCTTTGTAGCTAATAGAGTCATAAACTGCGAACATAAGATTACTTTTAATATCAAGGTTAACACTTTCCTGTTTTTAAGACCAGTCGATATTTATCGCCGGGGGGGGGGAGGGGAGCGTTGGAGGATTTGATTGTGGTTGCAATCATATGGTTCCAAGGGGAACTAAGGAAGGATCAGTCATCAATAATAGAATATGAAGGAGAGATCCCATTTTTTCACTGTCCCCTCCTCTCTTCCCTCCCTTAGGAGCCTGGCTACGCAGTAGCCAGTGTTGGTAGAATTTAGAATTAATCCGAAACCTCCCCCCCCCATTTCCATCAGGGCGACGAATAATAACTGGTCTATGGATGAAAAAAAAAAAAAAATTACAAGCTATAAATGCAAGTGCAGGTAGTGGGGGGGAGGGACCTGTCAGCCATTTTAACCTCTTAATTGTGCTTTGGATAAAACGTAGTCTCCCGTTACCATGTGCTCCGGAAAATTGAAATCTTGTCGGAATGCTTTCAAACGAAGGGTGCACTTTATAGCTTTAAAATAAATGATAATAATATACAAAAAATTAAAAACCTCTTTCCAACCTGCAAATACATGTAGAGTCGGCTTCATAGTATGTAACAAAGGTATTTTTCGCAGGAAATAAATTGAGTGATTTCTCTCCGGTCGACTCAAGTTCCTTTGTTCCAAGCTGGGAGATTCATCTTTGGGATTGATCTTCTCCTCTTTGAGCCTCTAAACACAATACGTTTAAAATGCAGCAAACTGATGGACGGAAAGGACGGAAAGAGAAAAAAAAAATTACCCAGATAATCAAGAACGGTCAGTTTTGTTGATCGTCAAGGAATTAAGTTTTGAAAATAAAAAAAAAAAAAGATGCTTAAAACGAAGTTAAAACGGATCACAAATTCGAAACTAGTTTCATACCTAAAAGCGCGTAAGCTGTTGCGTTTTTTAGCCGGCTAAGGGTGACTGGCTTCTAATTTTGTCCTTACAGCATTGTTAAATCATACATGAGGTCAAGGAAATAGAGGAAATTATCACCAATTTAAGAAACTCCTGATTGTCAAACAAATTCGCCTTTTCAATCTTTTCAGTGCTACGGGAAGTGTAATTTAAAGAGGACAGACTAGAGTGACGAATATGAATACTAAGCTATGATGTAAGGATTCATTTATGCGAAATTGGTCACGGCAACAAAGCTGGCGGGGGTTGATACGTAATAACATTCTATCGAAACGAGCAGTCGATGAAGACAATACTGCACAGGAAGAAGGAAATTGATATGACCATGTTAACGACTATTTGAAATTTGTTCTAATTACTTGCAAAGAGGGTGTTTCCACCGGGGAAATCGACGTGCCATCCCCTTCAAAATGGTAAGGTTTGGACAGATAACCGCACTTTTAATGGCTTCCCTACGGTTTCTTTCCTTATACGCTTATCAGTGGCCATCCCGGGGAGGGGGTGGGGATAACCCCTGCGACATACGCGGGCATGGCGCGGGATTTGTCAGCTTTGTTCGCTAATTTCAAGCCCGGGATGGGGGGATCGGTCAGCGGATGTTGGTCAAGAGGGTTGTGAATTTTTGAACTCCGCTAAGTTTCTTTATATTCTTTGTTTTTCTTATTTTTGTATTCAATTTTTATTGTGTGTCCTTTCGTGTGGCCATTGTGCAATGCCTGGGTCAGTTGTGGCTTTGAAGAAGGAGAATAACATACTTAAAGCGCAACTATCGTCAATATCGGACGAGGTAGCTAGATTGAAGGAGTTGATACAGCGACATAGCGACAGAAGCGAAGAAGTTCTGCCCAGCGAAGGAGGTGCCCAATGTGTAGAGTTCTAGAGCAAGAAATACGGCGACTTCCATCTCTTTAGCGGCATGGCCAAAGACGAACTCCAGCGACTAAGCACCAAACTCGAAGAGCTGAAAGCCAAGGTAGATATTATTGGAAATGCTATTGACGAAATTCAAGAACATAGTATCCAGTATAATGTAAAAATTGTGGGAGTGCCTGAGAGGCTGCAAGATGAATCCGCAGNTCCTATCGTGGCAAAATTGGGATGTGCCCAATCAAAGTAGGCAATGCATGTAAGGCAATAAGAAAATAGCGCACTACCTCGTCAGGTTTCGCCGGATCGTCGACTCTGCCAGCTCTTGATTTGGAAAGAGAAACTTTTTTCCGATTGTTGGGAAACCGCGACCTCAAAGCATGTATTTACGTTATTTGCATGTATCAGCAGAAAGTCTTTCGTCATTTTGGCTGATTACGCAGAAGGGGTCGCAGAAATATTTTCCAATACTTTGAAACCACAAGTTTGAGGGCAAGAATGATTGAACTAAAAGAAACCAACTTTCGTGAAAACCTTCCTCTTATGCTGAAGCGACAAAGTTTCGCTTCAAGAGCGAGGAACCAAATTTCATGAAAATCTTCCGCTTATGCTGAAAAGCCATAGTTCCGCTTCAAGGACGATGAAACTGAATCAAAAGTAAATAAACTAAATGATAGCAAAGTTTTAAACACGTTCGTTTGCGGCAAAGTTAAACATTAACCTAATGATAACTTAAAAGTTAAAAGTTTCCTTTGATTTACGATACAGTCGAGTATCTCAACAGACATCGAAGGTCAGAACGAAGAATTCGTTTTGTAAAGACCACCACAATTACGTCATCAAATTTTAGAGTGATGCTGTGGCACATTCTGTTAATAGTGACATAATTTACCCTGTGACTCATCTACCTGCGTATTCCAAGACTTACATTGTTAAAAATACTTCTGAAGTTATTTTCTGCGGGAGAGAAAGATACTTAAAACAGAGAAAAAAACGCGCTCACAGAAGAAGAATACTGCCTTTTGTAACACAATCTCATCCGGCTTTGCTAAACATCAAGAACATACGGTTGGGGAAGTGACATCTTAAAAACCTTTCAGTTAATTCATCGCGAAGGGAAGTCGTTGAGAAACATCTTGATAAGAGCTTAACTTTAAAAGAAGAAAATTTAAAAGCGCTAGATAATGGCAGGAGTTGCACAGGCTCATCAACACCTCTTTTCAGCTTTCCTGCTTCCCCGTGTCAACTGACGCAGGTAGAGTTATTTATTGATCAAGTGACTCCTTTTATTGCTCTAATTCAATTGTACTTCATTTAGTGATCAGGATAGTAGATTCACCACACAATACTCGCAATTAGTTCATTCGCCTTTACTTAGAAAAGTAGATTAACAACACGATTGAGTACATGTAAGAAATGTCCTTAGAGTAGTAACGCTAGGTAACGCAATACACTAAACACAACAATCGTGCTGCATTGTACTCTGGTTAACAGCTACAATGCATTCTGGTAAAAGCGATGTATTCGAGAATTCGCATCCCCTTTATACTTTTCCAATCCTGATTAGAATGCTGCACGCTTGCTACGCTTGCTGTGCAGCAATAACTATAAGAGACAGGCAGCCATTGGTGGGGGAATAGAGGATTTTAGCTTTAGAGAGGATCACATGGTTTTTAGGGGGAGAGAGGAGGGCTCAGTCGCCACTAACAGAGTATAAACGGGTGACTAAAGGAAATTATCTGCCATCGACGGGCGGGGATCATAAGGACATTACAAAGCCTTATGGAGGATCAGGTAAATTTTATCATGACACATTAAAATCGTAAACCCCGCCACCCCTCCCTTATCCCCAACCGATAAAAAGAGAGCGGTCCTTAATAAACGGGCAAACTTATCTTTCATTCATTTTAATTTCTTTTTGCTCTATAGATGAATGGCAAAAGCAGAATACCTCACCTGTCTGTTTTGGTGCAAAGAACGGACAGTTTGGTAGATTCTATCTTAAAACTGCTTATAAAAAGCTGGCCGCTGTGATGTTGGTTCACCTGTACGGGTACGTGACCTGTGACACACGACATGTCTCCTATTGGTCTTACTGGGGCTGTGGCTCGTACGTCCACGGACTGGGCAAGATAAATGTCGTCATAACAACCTCAGACAATCACGTTCTTTTGCCACCAAGAGAATTTATAGTACATAATGGAGCTAAGTGGTCCAAGGTTCCTGGATATAGCTCCCTTTCCCCGAAGCTAATGCTGTCCTTTTTCAGCCCCTCCCGCGTCAGCAAAAACCAAGAGTTACGGGTGTGGTATGGAGAAGATCTGATGAATGCTGGCGAGGGAGACAATGGAGGCACCATTTGCGTTGATGTCTATGCAATTTTCGTATGAGCTTTCACTGAGCAGCAAGCAGCCATGACAGAAAATCTCATCGCTTTGTAACTAATGAAATCGTAAACTGCTAACAGAGGCTCACTTTCAATGTCAAAGTTATCACTTTCCTGTTTTTTATCACCTGGGGGGAGGGGTAGGGGAGGGTAGGAGGATTTGATTGTGGTTGGAATCTGATGATTTAAAGGGGAACGAAGGGGGAATCAGTCATCAGTAACAGAGTATTAAGGGGGGGGGGTTGTAGAAAATTGCGCATTTCCTTTATCCAATTCATCCACTGTCCCCTCCTCTCTTCCATCATTTAGGAGCCTGGCTACGCAGGCTGCGGTTTTCTGATAGGGTCAATTATTCTTATTGCATTGGTAGAATGTAGATATAATCCTAAAACTCCCCCCCCCTTCCGTCAGGGCGATAATGACTGGTCACTAGGAAAGACGAAAAAAATTAATTACTAACCATAAATCAAGGCAAGTGTGGGTAGGACCCATCAGCTGGTATTAACCCCTTAGTTGTGCTTTTGATCAAATGTAGTTTCCCGTTACCGTATGCTCCGGAAAATTGCATTCTTCTTGGAATGCTTTCAAACGAAGGGTGCTCCTCGTAGCTACAAAAAAATTGATAATAATGATAAAAAATTAAATCCCCTTTCCAAGTGCAGATACGAGTAGGGTCAGCTTTATATCATGTAACAAAAGTATTTTTCGCTGGAAATAAATGAGTAACTGCTCTCTGACTAACTGAAGTTTCTTTTTTCCAAGCTAAGGGATTCATGTTGGGGATTGATCTTCTCCTCTTTGAGCCTCTGAACACTGCGTTTAAAATGCAGCAAACTGATGGACGGAAAAGACGGAAAGACAAAGAAAAACAATTACCCACATAAGCAAGAACGGTCATTTTTGTCGATCGTCAAGGAATTAGGCTTTGAAGTAAAAAAAAAAAAGGACGCTTAAAACGAAGTTAAAACGGATCACAAATGCGAAACTAGTTTCATCATCCGCTGAAAGCGCGGAAGCTGTTGCATTTTTTAACCGGCCAATAATGACTGGCTTCTAATTTCTTCTGTCTACCTTAAATCATACATGAGGTCAAGGGAATAAAGAAAATTATCAACAATTTTAGAAACTCCGGATTGTCAGACAAATACGCCTTTTCGTTGCTACGAGAAATGTAACGTGAAGAGGACAGACCAGAGCGAAGAATTTGTGTAAGGATTAATTTATGCGAAGTTGGTATGGCAACAAAGCTGGCGGGGTTGATACGTGATAACATTCCATCGAAACGAGCAGTCGATGAAGACAATACTGCACAGGAGGAGGGAAATTGATACTACTATGTTAATAACTATTTGAAATTTGTTCCAATTACTTGCAAAGCGGGTATTTCGACCGGGGAAATCGACGTGCCTTCCCCTTCAAAATGGTAAGAGTTGATCAAAATTTGTAACTTCAACTCAACGCTTGGATGGTTTACTGCACTTTCAATGGCTTCCCTCGGTTTGTTTACTTTTGCGTTTTCTCCTAATTCTTTACAAATCATGTCATTTTCCACAGCCGGCTGGTCATAAATCTGGTAAGGTAAGGAAATCGGGGAAAAGTAGAAGTCGCAGTAGAGGAGCCAGTCGAAGTCCTTCGAGAAAAGGTGGAAAGAAAAGCGGAAAGAAGTCTCGATCGCCGTCACCTTTGAAAACCAAGCGTGAGGTGGATCTTTTGAGTCCCGATGCGATGGTGAATGGCTACTACATTGCGCACAATGTGCCGCAGTTCTTGGGATTTCGAGGCTTTGGATGGGAAGCCGGTGGGAAAAAGGGTAAAAAGAAAAAAGGCAAAGGAAAAAAGAAAAAATAAAGTTTTGGCACATTCTGGAAGTTATCCCTATAATTCCGGCGATTAGCTATACATAATACGTTCTCGTCTTCGTAATAAGAAGGCTCTTCGAACTGTCAGTAGGATGCCAAAAGAGAAAGCCGCATTTAGCATGGGTTTGATGTTGCCTGCTTGAAGGACTTAGCGTAAATGGGCCTTGGTTGGAGTCAAATTATTGCAGCAGGATTAACTTTTCTTTTTTAAAGATCTAACATGTAAGCATTTCCTTGAGACATCTAAAAAGTGTGAGAAGCTCTACTATGCATTATACTAGATATTGAAGGTTCGCATGACATGAAGGAATGTGCATACTGGAGAGTTTATGGAACCTCATCATTAATTCTTCTTACCGCCTGCCTTACAGTTCTAATGAATTTGTTTTTGGATCAATTAAAAATCCCTTAATTGATCTCTATTCTCATTACCTTTCTGCTTGGCGCTGTTTTAAAATTGTAAAGAGAAACTCTATCTTGGTCTCTCATGGAAGTTTAAGGATTAGGAATTCTCTTTTTTCCTCCACAGTTTTCGACTAGGCTGGTCTTGACCTGTTCAAATATATTTTTGGATTACTATTTGTACTATATAATTATCTGGTAAACATGAATATGTTGTACTTGATGCCTGATTTTCAGCTGAAAAGTGCAAGGAGATCTTGCTGTACTTGTGTTAATCAGTATTACAAGTAGAAAGCAGTCAGTCAGCAGAAATAATTTTTGAGTTTTGTGCCAAAGTTATATCTATTTCTGTTTTGACCCATGGTGTGTTTTACAATAATTGTCGTGTAAAATCAGTCAGAATTCCTTGATCATTGTTGCCCTAAGCTTTGTTTTTTCAGTGTGGCTCTGCCAGAGATTCTTACTGTGTCATGAAATTTTCATTCCAATCAGCAGTAGATCAATGGAAATGAGTCCTAGAAAACTGTCTAGAGTAAATTTTTATATAATTTTGTGTAATGTGTGATCCTGTGGAACATATTATAAAGTGAATAATTTTAGAAGATTATTATAATTCATTATTTATTTGAGAAGTGCAATAAATTACTTTTTGATACAACACAATTAGTTTTTGTTATTGTTAAAATGTTATTTACAGTAGTTGGTATAAGTTTATTCAAAGGTAAGGTAGGTAAAGTCTGTTTACGAGCCTAGTGGCCCTTTAGGCTGGTGCTTAACTCCTGTTTCTGTTGCATGAAGTAACTAGGAGTATTTCTACTCCCCCGTGGATGGGATGCCAGTCCATCACAGGGTTACCCCCAGCATTAAATTGCCGGTACCCATTTAAACACCCGGGTGAAGAGAGGCACTGTGAGAGCAAAGTGTCTTGACTAAGAACACAACACAATGTCCCGGCCGGGGCTCGAACCCGGACCACTCGATCCGGAGTCGAGTGCACCAACCATGAGGCCACCGCGCCTCCACAAGTTTATTCAAAGGATCATCTTAAATTTTATACACGGGTATGGCCAGGAATTTTTGAAAGGGGAAGTGGGGTCAAATTTACAAATTTCCATGCACCTTACATGAAGAAGCTTTATGACTGCTCTTTTCTTGTACAGTATGACCTGCAAAAGGAGTGTTAGACAGTGAAAAGATTAATGCCATTATAACTTTTTAGGATTTGCACCTTTTCACAAACCTCAGTTTTAAGATATTTATGTTCTTGACTTTAAAAAGTGTCTCAAAAAGGGGTGGGAGTTATGGGGATTTCAGAATCCCCTCCCACCTACACCCCTGTTAGGATACAATTTGCCCAGGGGAGGGGTGGGAATGTCCCAAGAATATAGTGATTATCAATTACAGCAGGGGGTTGTTTACTGATGGGGTTTGGTTAGTGTTTTCTGGGAGCTGTTGTCAGAGGAGCTTGTTGTGAGACCTACTACTACATGTCAACCCCCTTTTAACTCCCAAGATCTATTTGTTCATTCTTCTCTCTAGTTGCCTCACATTTCCTTTTAAAATAGTTATGAGAATTTGGTATTATATCAATATAGAAAACAATTTCAATCTGATTAGTTTGAGTTTTCTCATCACCTGTTTGGTGGATAAGGTATGGATACCATAGGAAGAAGTTACATGTTAATCACTTCTGGGTCCAAGTGTAGTAACTATGGGGTCAAAAAAAAAACAAAAAAAACATTAAAACTTCTGGGGGCCAAAGATTTCAAGTGCACCTTAGGAGGCCAGGACTGTAAACAGGAAGATCTTGGTGTGTAACTTATGGAGTCACTTTATTTTGAATGCAAGGTAAGAAGCTTGTAAGTTTTAACATTAATGGAGTGTGGTGTTCCTGTGGTTGGCCTTGGTGAAATGTCACATGATATTCAGTCCTATCCAGACCCTTTCAGTGAATTTAGTGTCACTGTACCATTGACAAGGGTCAGAACAAATCTAAGAAAAAAAAGCATACAAAGTTAAAAAATATTTTTAACATTCACTGATTCACTTCTTTCATCTTAGGATTTGAAGTGTATTGATCTAATTTTTTCAATTGGGTGCTAGTAGTGATTGCTGGGACATGTCTGTATAGATAACACCACTTTGCTGATAATGGGCAGCTTCTAAAAAAATGAAGGAAAAAAAAAAAGAGAAGTAACAGTTTAAAATCCATCACTCTTTTTAATCCCAGCCCTGCAAACAAGGAGAGGATTCTAGTTTATGGAAGAAATGAACAATACAACTCTTATTTCAAACAACACCATAACCTTATAATTTATTGATCATATCCTATATTTTTAGAAAAAATGAAAGAAGTAAAGCTAAGGGCAGGTGAGAAGAACAGGTGCTACCGCACCTTGCTAAAACTCGAACTAAATAATAACAGCCAATGAGAAGAGTTCTTATTGAATTAGCGATTCACTTTAGCCAATTACAATGCGCGTTAGATTAAGCTGGCCCTGTAATTTTCCATGAAAGGGGTACACCCCGCAGTTTGGTTAGCACATGCGTGGCAGCCTTACGCCAGTTTGTTCTATTGAGCAGCCGCCATCGCGTTCTCTTTTCCGCGCAAGTCGAACGGACAGCTTCTTTGCGCAGATTCAGAAACTTTGCTGAGTTATTTTGATCCTGCCGTCAAACCAGGTATCTTTACTGTGTTTTACCTAAGGCTCTCGTCTTATTTCAGCAGTTATGGAGCGTAGGTTGTCGATTAAAAGTGTAAGTATGACCGCGGTGCTTTTGTAGTGAAAGGAGAAGTTTACCAGACGAAAAGATTGTAATTTTCGAACTGAAAAGGGGCTCGCTCTCTCGTGATCAACCACGGAAATGAAGGCGCTTTAGGACGATCTGTTGGATTACAGTCGTGATTTTTATCGATGTTTTGTGGGGTTTTTCCGATGTGAAAATCGAGTTCAGGCGAAGGTTTTTACGTGAATTTTGTATTAATTCGTCGCGTAAAGATTCAATGAACATTCATAAAAAAACTGGTATCATTTTGTTCTGTCTCGAATCTGACGGTATGTTTTGAATCCTTTTCGACAGCAAACTGGCTCAAGTCGGTCTTCATCAGGTGGGTTTAACCCAAGCTCTGTCGCAAGGCAATTTGCAGACCCTGCAGATGTCGCATTCCATATCTCAGTCGATGAGTCAAATGTCGGATGATGAGCCATCTTCGCCGGAGTCCACAACCTTCGATGGGTCGGACCTGCTAAATTCTACGGTCGGTGATGAAGTCACAGCACAGTTAGCGGCTGCAGGGCCGGTTGGAGTCGCTGCTGCAGCGGCTATTGCGACTGGAAAGAAGCGGAAAAGGCCACATTCGTTTGAAACGAATCCTTCGATCAGAAAACGTCAACAAACTCGTCTTCTGCGGAAATTGAGAGCGACGATTGACGAGTATACAACTCGAGTAGGACAGCAAGCTGTTGTGCTGTGCGTCTGCCCTGGGAAACCAAATCCGCTTTTCAAGGTGTTTGGTGCCGTTCCTCTGGAAAATGTGGTTAGAAACCTTAAACAGCTTGTTCTCCAAGATCTAGAGCACGCTTTAGCAGAGCATGCCCCTCCACCTCCCCCAGAAAATCCAGATATCTACACACTACCCCCTCTTGTAATCGATGGTATTCCAACTCCTGTTGACAAAATGACCCAAGCCCAGCTCAGAGCATTTATTCCAATGATGCTGCGCTATTCCACCGGTCGAGGAAAGCCAGGCTGGGGGAAGGATTCAACCCGACCAGCTTGGTGGCCATCAGATTTGCCATGGCAGAATGTTCGCAGTGATTGTCGCAGTGAAGATGAAAAAGCCAGAATCTCATGGACAAATGCCCTGCGACAGATTGTGAAGAACTGCTACAAGTACCATGGAAGGGAAGATCTGTTGCCAGCTTTCTCAGAGGGAGATGCTACACAGCACCAGTATGTACAGCAACAGCACCAGATGGTACATACCATTTCAAATGCTGATGGAACCGTGTCGCTGATCCAAGTAGATGCGTCAGGTGCTGTCAGTACTCTATCAGATGCGGCCACCTCGCAAACAGAAGCAACCCAAGCTGTGGCAACATTGGCTGAAGTTGCTGCTGCAACCCAAGTAGAAGTAACTCTTCCTCATCCAGGACAGGGTGATGGAGTAGGAATTGACCAAAGTGATTTATCACACACTGAAGCTATTGCACAAGCAGCTGTTGCCACTCTTGCAGAAGCCACTCTTGCTGATGGAGGGCAGATTGTTTTACCCGAACATGCTGCTGCTGCTGCTGCAGCATTGGCAAATGTCCAGGATAACTTAAACACTTCTAACATGGTCACCATTCCAGTTCAGGCTGCAGCATCTCTCATGCAGATTCAAACTCACCATTTACCAGCTAGCACTCATTCACAGTACATCTCCGCATCTGTTCCTCAAGTAGCGATGGCACCTCATTCAATAATTCAAACAGTGACAACCTCCACAATGGGACATGAAGTCCACACCCAGATAGTGGACACATGTGAAGGTGTCCCAGTGGCTACGCAAGCGGTAGAAGTAGTAACTCTTGAAAATTCACAAGATCCGATGAACTGACAGTACCATGAAGATAGAATGGGAACTATGTACAAAAAAGGCAGGAAAAATTAATACACTATGTGCAGAAAGTGTCTTGCAGAAATGAACACAGAAAGATATGATTACATTATTTAAATGTTATGTACTGCATTTAATTTTTAAAAAAAGATTGATTTGAGACTTGATTTGAGGATTTTTGGTTGAAAACCACTGGCATCTCAACATTGTTATTTTTTAGTACTTGGTGACATAAATTATTGTCAAAAGAGCAGACTGCGGACATCTTTTACCAGAAAAAGGCATCACCCTGTCTCAGCTGCAATATTCTTAAATCAGTGTTGATTTTTTAGAATAATATTGTTGTCATAAGCCTCTATGGTCTGTTTTTATTCTCAGTTAATCTTAAGCTGGATAAAAAGAATACTAATTAGAAAAACTTTCTCAGTAATTTAACCTTTGCATGCCCTCAGTGCTTTGAAGTGAGACAAACAAAGCTAACCATCTTCAGGTCACAGCAAATTGCTTAAATCTTGGCTGCTCATGGTATTACCATTATTTGATTTCAGTTTATTCCAGTTCAGGGAGAAATAAACTCTTTCCTTTTGAGTTTTGTTGTTGTTCAAAACTTGGAAAGTCCAATTTTTCAGTCATTTCATTTAGAAATCAATATCGCAACCTCTTCAAGAAGACAAATGTCAAAAACAGCAATGACATTGTAAGGGTAATGTTGAATTTGACACTAAATTTTCATGTGAAGAACTAACTATTCTACAAGAAATTATTGTTGCGTTGGAGTTAGGTTGAGAACAACTGGAAGGTAAATTGATCTTGTATTTATGAAAACACAGAAATTACTAGGTGGTGTTTTGTAGTAACCGTGCAAATGTACTTTGGGGTATTTACTCTGGAATATTTGTGAGAAGTGACTTGTGTACCATTTCAATTAAAAATTACTGGTTCGGTCTGTGTATGACACTGATTTGTGTAGTGGTTGTTGGGGCTTTTCTGTATTCAGGGAATTTCCATTACACTTATGTCTTAGAAATGCTCCACAAATTGAGGATAAAGAATTTGTAAATGTTCTGATCATACATATTCAAGACTCATGATACAGTTGAACCTGTATTAAGCAGTCACCCCCAGGGAATGATGGGGTGAATGCTTAATACAGCTTGACGGCTTAAGACAGGTTTCACAGAAAAGGAGTATCACAAAAAAAAGTAACTTGTTTTCCAATAATTGGCCACTAATTTATAAAAACTTCTCAAAAATACTACTTAAATTGCCTTTGGGAGATAAACTTGGATTAAATTTTACTTGAAAGATTAATCTTGGTTTTCAAGTGGCCATACTTCAAGTGTCTCATCAATGCAGGTGGAGAACAATACAAACAGGCCATTGGGACTTAGGAAAGGGTAACCATGAGGTAGCCACTTGAAAGAGGCAAAAATTACTGTACAGTAACTAAGGGAAGTAATTTCAGAACTTTGCCAACTAACTACGTAATGCCGTAATGCTTAACACAGGGTTTATTGTAATTCTAAGAATAATAATTCAGCAGTGGACACTGCGAGCTGGCTCTTCCTGTTCACTGACTCCAGATCAATTTGAAATTTTGTTTTTTGTGGAGAGAGGAATCCAGAGGACCCTGAGAAAACTCCATGAGAATTAATAACAAACTCAACTCGCATGTGACACCAGGTGCAGGACTCAGATGCGGGCTGCGGGGTTGGGAGGCTAGTGCCTTAATCACCACTCTATCCCTGCTGCTCATTATTTAGAAACAGTTCTCATGTTGACTGTACCATCATTGGACCTCTATCATTATCACAGACTGGCTTCTTAGTGTGACAATGATTAACCTTTGTACTTCTAAGAGTGACTAGCATCTAATTTGCCTTACCATATCACCCCTGAATCACACATTGTGTTTACCAGAATACAGGAAATGATCAGTGATTACCAGCTATAAAAGCTCTTTATTGTTAAACAAATTCTCCTTGTCAGCACCTTAGGAGCTTTACAGAAGACAGTATGGAGAATATGCATACTGATGTTAGTGTGTAAAGGGTCATGAGTTATTTAAGAGTTAAATCAGCAAACCTTTGGATGCACAAAGCAATTTGAACATTTGGGTAGCAGGCGGTCTTGTTGTGTGATGGTTTGTAGTCACAGACTTACAACAAACAAAGCGCACATATTATCTTCATCATGAGACTTAAGTGGAGGAATTTTGAATGTGACTGTGCATCAAGATTCAACAACATTAGCGGTTGTCATTGTCACTGTATGTCCAATGCAAAACAGCTTTTAAGAGCTTTCCTCACTTATACAATCACACTTCGCAATAAACCCTGTTTAACTAGTATGCTTGATCCCAACAGGACGCTTAAGACTGATAGGAATGTAATCAAAGGGAAGAAGTAACAGTATGGTGTTGCTCTAAATCACCAATCAACTTTAACCCTTTTGTATATTGCGCGAACATTAGTATGCATATTCCCATATTGTTCTCTATTTCCTAAGGTGCGGGCAAGAAGAAGTTGTTCAACAATCAAGGGTTTCTATAATTGGTGATCATTACCTTTACTCTTGAGACCTTAATTGTGACTCATGGGTAATAAGGTATGATAGCAGTTGATAGCAGTTTTTTATAACTGAATTGGCCATCCTGCATAAATATGTTATCATTATTATTATTATTGTTATTATTAAGGTAGGGGAAATAAGATGCTAGTCACCTTTACAGGTCAAAGGGTCAAGACTCCGAAAGGAAGCTCTAGGCGTCTGTAGGTTTGTAACAATAAGCATAAAGAAAAAAATATATATATACAGTGGCATATGTCTTTGTAACCCTAACAATAGTACGCACATTCTCCAGAATTTTCTCCAGCCATTTCTTAGGGTACTATAATTAACAATTATTCGCTGTAGGCGAGGTGAATGTTGTCGAATAATCCCCGAGACGAAGTCGAGGGGATTATTCGACAATATTCACTGAACCTGAGGTGAATAATTGTTTTAGTATAATTTCAGAGCTGAACAACAGAGAAATTTCTAAAATCATAATATTTTAGTAACACTTATTAACATTTTACTTTAACATTGATTATTTTTATATAAGCCGCATGGAGTGGTTTCTATAGTGTCATATAAGTAACCGCTCGACCAATCAGATTGCTGGAAACTCTTTGCTCAGCTCTGAAATTATACTTTCTAAATCCTCTTATTAGCCACCTGGGGTGCTTATTTATTTCAGGTACTTTGGGAAGGTGGCTTGTTAAAAGAGGGGGGGGGGGCTTCCTAGAGGGGGGCTTATCAATTTGGAACTCAATAGAAAAGTCAATTTCATGATCTAACTCTCTCAATGCACTTTGTTTAGCCATGTTATATATTCAGCATTGCTCTGCTATTTCCCAATACAATATTCTATTGATGCCAACATAACTTAATCAATCACTATAATCGCAAACTAAAATTATGGCATAAAAGTTGTGCCGCATAGCACTAAGAACACAAATGATGGAACAGAGAATTAACTCTGAAGCGTAAAGTGCTAAATGAAACCCATGAAAAACCCACTGAGTGTTAGCCCTAGTAAAGAGTATTTCTTTACCTCGTGTGGTTCACATATATGCCCTTACTAGTGCTAATGCTCAGTGGGTTTTTCATGGGTTTCATTTAGCACTTTAATTTATGCTTCAGAGTTAATTCTCTGTAAAATTACAGCACTTGAATAAATTTATTGCACTTACTGATACGGAGTGTTTTTTTGAGGGGAAGGGGTAAGGGGGATTACTAGAGGGACGGTTTCATAAATTTCTTCCTCTAAAACTGCAGGAGCTTATTAGAGGGGGGAGGAGGGGGCATAATTGGAAGATCTACAGTCCTGACAAGGAAAATTTGGTTAACAATAAAGATCTTCTTTACTTGATGATCATTTCCTGTTTTCTCGTGACCTTTAAGTGTGGTTCAGGGGTTATAGTGTTGAGGAGAAATTGGATGCTAATCACTATTAGGTTTGAAAGGGTCAAGACTCCCTGTGGAAGCCCTTGACTCTTGCAGGTTGGTTACAGTAAGCTAAAAGAAAAAAAAAGGAGTCTACAGTGGAGGATATTTTTAGAGTTTGTTATAGGTAAATCATTTTGGTTAACAATGTGTAGAGGTCCATGTTTAGACATGAGATGTATCTAAACAGATGCGGTGACATGGCACAATTTTATTGAATGCCACTTATAATGTCATTAAACACGCTCATTACAGTATCATACAACAGCTGAAGACTTGGGAGTATGGGATATAAAAAGAAACCAAAAGACACAGATGACAGCACAAGCATATTTTAAATAACTTCTTCATCTAGGAAAAATTAGCAAACTTATAATTCAATCGACTTGATAAACAGGCAGCTTTTCCATTTATTTAATTATCGGTGACATGCTTTGCACTTACTTTGGAAAACTGCTTAAAATTATTATTAACCATTGCCTGGTCTGAAGGCTCATTAATCATGATTATGATAGACTTAATTATGTCAGTGATACATAGACATCTGGTTATTGCGAGAAATGATCCTCACTATTAAGTGAGATCTATCTACCAGCTGTTGGTTGGCAAACTAGAATAGTCATACCTCCATAAAATTTTTAATGTAAAAGAAATCTAACTAAAGTATCACATTAAGGGACCTTGAGCTGTTACTATGGCAATGCCTAGACAGCTTTGGCCAACTGAAATAAGGAAGCTAAGACAATTTAGACAATTTTACAAGAGACTCAATGTGTCTCCTTTCTGCAAGAGCACTAATCCTGAAGCATTGAGTTTGCAAATGGGGTTGCTGTAAACAAAGTCCCTACATTTCACTGATTTTGCACCAATTTTCAGAAACAGCTATGAAATGGACAGAGTTTTCAAATGGCTATTCCCAGCCATTGTTCTGCTCACAAAATCTTTCTTTTCTTTCACTGGCAATTGCTGCTGTAACCATCATTTAAAGAACCCAATATGTGCACCAGAGATGGAAAAAAATACTTTTCATATTCTTTGCAGTTTGCATCAACACCCCCATTTAGTACTTTTAAGTTATTTCCTAACTTGTAAAGACCAAAGAAGAAATGCAGAGGGCCTTGTGTAAAAAAAAAAAATAAAATGAAAAAGGCTCTCAACAGAACCAAGTTTACTCAACAAACAGTTGGCAGATAGATCCTGCATGATTACCATATTAGTGGCCATAAGCAACAAATTAACACCTCTCTTATACAAAATATAACCTCTTATGCTTTATTGTAGACAAAATCAAGCAATGCACATGACAGTCTATACTTGACTATCTCTTTGACCAACCAAATTAATTAATTTCCTACTTTTACATGCATATGACAAGAGCATGGCACAGCCCCACATACATGAAGCATTTTTGCAGAGAAATGGCAAGGCAAAATAACACATGCCTCTTTAAAAATGGTGTACTACACGAGGTGATTCATGGAAATGGACAGAGATTACCAGAAAATGACTCAGACTCATGTTTAGAAAGATGTCTATTCCAAGAAACTCTACATCTAGTTTTTCAGCTTTGACTACAGTGTTACTTGCAGAGGTTGGGCAGACTAAGGTTGGACCAAAAGTTGCAAAATACTGCTTTCTTTCATAAATAGCAATTTTAAAAATGTTCAATGAATTTACAAGAAATTTATCCATGGCTGTTGTGGATTCCAGTCCCTGGCCATTAGTATCTGTAGAAAAATTATATTCTTGCTTAGAAACAGAAATGATTGTAAGTTGTTAAAACATGGAAACTCCAAACATCAATAAAACAATTGCAAAGCTATGTCCTTATATTTGTAGTTTCTCAAGGCTTTTTGTCAGTGGATTTGTTTAAGAATGAGAAGGAGAGATCAAGAGAAAAATAGCTCTTTTATGGGAATTCAAAACAAGACCAATACTCCATTCAAATGATGTACTCCTTTGACTTAGAAATAAGCTGTGAGGGGATGTGCACCTTATGGTTTGTACATTGTGCAAAGCTTTATGAAACAATGAAGCAAAGAAACCTGAAACAACACCTACTGAGTTGCTGCTGCTGAAAACATGATTACCATAAAGCTCAAAATAGAGAGACAACCTCAGTGAAAGTTCTCAATTCTTGAAATGAATTCCAGCAATTTTTTTCAAAATATCAGTCACTACTACCAACTACAGTTCTTCTCGGGATTACTCTCATGAGAATATTCAGACTTCACCATGAAAATATCTATCCCCACGTCAAACCATTTACTGTAAAAGACACCATTCTTAATTCAAACCTGTAATAATTGGGTTTGAAAGGGCCATTCTTGTTAACTCCAAGATATTTTGCTTGTTCCTCTGTCAACTCTGTCAAATGGCCATCAAATGTTGGCAAATGCAACATTGCTACGTACTCATCTGAAAGGCAGCAGACAGAAATATAATTAACCCTTGCATTTCCAACAACATGACACTAATTTTTCTAAACAGTACATAATAATAATAATAATAATAATAATAATTATAATAATAACAATAATAATAATAATGACCTTTATTAGCATACTTCCACATAGTGACTCTTCGCTACTAATATAAAAATTAACTATATACATAACACTTACAATAAATCAAAATTGATAAAATAGTGAATAATAAAAACTATACTAGATTATCCATTGCATGTCAGTATGTCTCTTAAGATTTATACAAAAAAGTACATGGTCACTGCAATTCCTTAGCTCCGCAGGAAGCTTATTAAAAGCTTCTGCAGCTTGATCTTGTAGAGTGTTCTCCTCAATTTTGTTGGCAAGTTCTAATTTTGGTGCAGCTAATGACCTAAGACTATATCTATTTATGACATTTTGCTTGGGTTTTAGTGGAAAGTCCTCATTGTATAATAACTTGTGCGCTAGCTTAGCTATATTAAATTCTAAACGCTCTTTGATTGTAAGCCAACCTAGCTTTCTAAAATCCTGGAGTCCAGCAAATTTAGTTAACACAAAACCCGCACACATTGCATTTCTTGCCAGCTATTCCAGAGTTAAGTGTTTTATCTAGAGCCATTTCTCCTGCATTTCTGTTATTCTCCCTACCATTCTGTTTGAGAGAATGTAAAAACTGTAAGGAGAACCGATACACTCATCACTTACCCATCTTCTTGGGCAGAAGATAGACATCATGTTTATATCTACCAGGAGGTGCCTTGAAAAGTTCAATTAATGCTATAGCCTGTAAGAGAGATAGAGAATAACACGTGGATGTGCTTAGGTATGGAATTTCTCTTCAAGTGTTCAACTCCATAGTCCAAGAGTGAGCACAGCTAACAAGTCAGATTTTGAATTGAACACAAGAAATGACATCTGCTTTGCCATTCATTCATCAGCCTGACCAAGTGGTGAGAAAGGTGATGGGTAAGCAGCTGATTATTGATATCAAACACATAAAAAATAATAGTAATTTTTCTGTGCAATGTTGCATCTTTCCACAGGGCTGGAAATCCTTGTAAAACACTGCAGCTGATACAATAAATACAAATAACATCACTTATGCACATCAGAGCTTACATTGTTGAACTATTTTTCAAAGACTTCAGATCAAACTCTTTTCTTACCTGTGTTGTTGATGTAATGGATACTACAAATGAAGGAACACTAGAGCAACTCAGATTGACCAGGCGACCCTATAAGAAACAAAGTGGATACAGTCAACCTCATGTTTGAGAGATGTAGCCACATGGTAGTGAACATTAGTACATGACTCAGGCAGTCAGAGGGCCAATAACTAAAACCAACCAATCAAAATGCTCTATTGCCCGTCCAATATTCTCTAAGTATTGGACTGGGGACTGTCCCGAATGGTCCCGAATGATACCACACTTGTATCCCTTTGAACTTCAGTCGTATAATAAATCTCTTATTAACCAAGCTTGCTCAGGACCGTACTGGAAGAATATTGGCCCTCGCTCTTTTTTGTACGGACCGAGCGCAGCAAGGTCCGTACTGTCAAGACCTCAGGCCGATATTCTCCCAGTACGGCCCTTGCACTTGGTTAATAAGAGATATATATTGTTACGCTACAGATTGAAATAAGGAGTGTTGAAGCCACAAGGAAATTTAGAGGCCATAGTTACATCTGTAAAAACATTATCAGCTGCTGTATTTAACCCTTAACACCCAACATCAGTATGCATATTCTCCATACTGTTCTCTATATGTTTCCTAAGGTGTTGACAAGGAGAATTTGTTTAACAATCAAGAGCTTCTTTTGTTGGTGATCATTTCCTCTATTCTCATGACCTTAATGTGTGATTCCAGGGTGATACTGTGGGGAGAATATCCTGGTCACTCTTAGATGCCACAGGGTTAAAAGTCATTTCCTTTTACCATCACCTCTTAGTTAACTAATCATAGCACAAAATAAAAATCTGAAATTTCTCTAAGTTTTTTTTTTCCCCTTCAATAAATTTTCCAGTAAGGTGAACTAAAACCTTGATAATTATTAATTTAAATTAACAACTGCATCACTAAGTGAAGGTTGAGTGCCTGAAACATCCAGGAGCTTCCACTAATGGCAGCCAGCTCCTAGATGGAAACTTCTCCCATGGCTGGCAAATACTTGCAACCCAGCCATGAGCCACTACACAGGAAAGGGAAACAGGCACCCGTCACACTGAATAAAGAAAGAGGGAGGGCATGGATGGGTAAAACTGCCTGGGAACGCTCTAAGAACACGCTCAAAGCACATGCAAGAACACCTAAAACGAAGAGCACATGGAATTCCGACCCGTGTGCATTTGCAAAGATACTGCTGACTGCAAGAGAACACTGACACTCTTTGCTAACTCCATTAAATTGCATTTAACCACATCAAAGAGGGGAGGGAAGAGTTATAAGAACTGATATACCTCTGCAAGCAACACAATTCTCTTGCCATCTGGCCAGATGATATGATCTACTTGGGTTCTGACTTTCTCCCAAGTCAGATCTGAAGTTCTTAAGCTAGCCTGTAAACCAAGCCAAGTGGAAAGTACTGTATTACTGTTGTGAACATACAGACCGCTTAAAGGGGACTATATGTCACATTGTGAACTTGCACAATGAGTTCTACCTGCTTGACACCAACGGGTGCCAAATGGCTATTAGTCCCTATAACACTGACAAGAAATGAAGCCCATCAATGTAAAAGCTGACAATTACAAGGTATTTTGCTCAGGCACTGTTGGGAACAATTCACGTTAATTGCAATTCAATATGTAGACAATTTTCCCTCCAATCATTTTCTGTAAATTTAACCTTTAGGGCTTTCCCTCTTGACGAAGACTACCAAGATTTGCCTTTTTTTTCTTTCATGATTGCTTCTTTCTCCTTTGTTTTCATTGTATTTTGCCTTAGGATGTCATAGGAAACTCCAAAAGGCCAATGGCAGCCATACTGCTGAATCCAAAGACATTATCTTGCAAGAGATTTACAATTTTCATGCAATAATGCAATATGTCTTGCTTTCTCTTGCAACCAAAATATTTTTTTCAGTGACCATTTTATGATGAAAGTTTCTAAATGGAGAGTTGATAAAAAGTTGAGCTCAGAGCCTTGTCCAATCACTATTTCATATTTTACTTACTATGTTGCAAACATTAGTTAATTCGCTTATCAGATCATATCTGAATCTTACCACATCAATTTCTGTATTTGAATGCCCCATGTTACAAACAATACAGCCATTCTTCATTCTGTCCAAATGATCTCTTGTAACCACATGCTTGTTGCCTGTTGTGAGAAAAAAAAAGATGCAAAGAGAAAACTCGCATAAGTAAAGTCTGTTGACATCAAACACTTCGCCCTTTTCATACACACTCTAGGCAGTAACGTGATTGCTATTCCTCTTTTTTATGCTGAGCACAGATTTCAAGTATTTGCTTATCATACAATGTAGTTAAGCCAAATTTGTGTTACTTAAAGGTACATACAGTTGCAGCTTTAAAACTGACACTTTTATTGGTAATTCTAGCCACCATTTTTGGCCACTTAGGCCCAAAAGACGATTAAGACATTTTTTTTTTTTTTAATTTTGGGCCTGAATATCTTATCAAATATCAACCTAGACATTCAAAAATTAAAATTGTTCTGACTTTTGCTGGTTAGATACCTGTGCAAGTGATAAGGATGTCAATGTTTTTCACCACCATGTCAATCTTGACAACTCGGAAACCATCCATGCTAAACAAAGTATGTACAAAAGAAAAAATAATGACCATTAATAAATATTTAAAATTTGTCTCAATCCTTGCCAGGGCTTCAATGAAGGTCTCTTGCAATCATTAATACATGTGCACCCAGACTAACGATTAAGACATGAACCTACCAAGCTTGAAGACCACAGATGGGATCAATTTCTGCAACATACACTACTGCACCAAGACCTTTGAGTGCTGAACAGCAACCCTTGCCAACCTGGTAAAACAACAGATCATCAGTGATCATCACAGTCAGGGCTTGTATTAATGGTAGCCAACTAGCCACAGACTAGTAGAAATTCAGTTTTGGCCAGTAGTTTTCGATTTCCACTCGTCAGTTTGGCTAGTAAACAAACTGAAATTGTCGTAACATCTGAGTTGTCACTAGCCACTTGGCTAGTAAGTTGAAAAGTTAGTATTGAGCCCTGGCAGTGTTTTACTTTTCTACATTTAATTCTTTAATCCTTGACACCCTAACATCACTATGCATATTCTCCATACTGTTCTCTACACATTTCTTGAGATGCTGACAAGGAGAATTTGTTTCACAATCAAGAGCTTCTTAAGTTGGTGATCATTTCCTTTCTACTGCAAGGCTGTGGTCTAGCAGTGCCCGGTGGCCCCTGGCACCTTACTCTTGCTTTTGGGTGACTCAGGAATTTTAGTTTTTTCATACAAAGCATATACTGGGCACCCTGGATTTCACAGTTTCAAAGCACTGGGCTCCATTCAATTTTCCTTAGAGCACAGCCTTGTACTGGTGATCTAAATGTTTGATTCCGGCGTGATATTGAAAGGAGAAATTAGATGCAATCTATTTACCTCTCCATATCCACACACAAGAACCTGTTTGCCACCAAACATTACATCTGTGGTTCTCTTTAAACTACGAAAGGAAGAAAATTAATTTCAACCACTTGATTCCAAGATAAATAGAGCTGTAACATCTCCTTAACATATAATATTAAGAGTAGGGCTGTGTATACATAAAATAACAATTACAACAATAAAAGTAATATATAATATCATAATTAAAAATAGAAAATGGTAATAAACAAATAGCAATAAAGAATACAAAAATGTGTAAAGCTAAAGGGTAAATGTTTAAAAATGTCACCATTATACAGTTTTAAATAATATTTAAAATTTATTTCAAGGAAATTCTCTAAAAGCAAAGGTGGAGATTTACAAATCAGAGGCAAACACTGAGCAAGACTTTTTAAAAGTTTTTTGCAAGTCAACTATCAAAACAAAAAAAATGCAATACAGCACAATAATATTCATAAATGTGAATTTCCTGTAATTATTTCTAAACCATGTACTTACCTATCTAAGATTGATTCTCGACAGCAGTACATGTTGTCAAACTTTGTCTATAAATAGAATATTTATCAAGTTCTTAAAGTCATTGTTCTTCACAGATTAGGGTTATTTTCTGTCTAATTTGTATTCAAGTCTGAAGTTTCAACTACACTTACTTTGGTGACTGAGTCGTTGACATTCATGGCTGCCACCGTTAGTTTTCCCTGCTTGGAAAGCTGGTACAACCTTAAATGAATTAAAACAAAAGTTAGGATGCAAAGGGTTAAATGTTTAAGGTTAGAGGTGAATCAACAAACCTAACCTGTGAACCCCAGTGACACTTTCTTCCACTACTCCACGCAGGGTGTTAAAAGTTCCGTTGAATTTCTTGTACAACAAATGAGTTGCATCGCCACCGTCATCCAGCACCATGTTAGGCTGCCATTTGTCTGCTGTGATACACTGCTCGATGCACCACCAAAAGTCTTCCTCAGACTCTCCCTTCCAGGCAAAGATGGGGTAACCTGGTAACCACAGTGAACGATTGGTATTAGACAATAAAGTTTAGAAGTTGCATGTACTTCACAAATTTTAGAACATACATCCAGAAGTTGAACAAGACAACCAACTAACCTGCTTCAGCCAAGGCTGCAGCAACCTCATTCTGTTGAAAATTATAAAATCAAGTCAGTGGCATAAGGAAACTCTACAATCTGCATACAATATGCAAGATAAACCTAAACAAGCATTTTCTTCCACAAACCTCTTAGGACATAACTATGACAGTAAATAATTAAGATTTTGTGCTTTTCAAACTAACCTGTGTTGAGTAAATGTTGCATGCACACCAGCGAACCTGGGCACCCAGAGCTGTGAGGGTCTCTATCAGAACCTGAATTTTACAAAAGATGAAACAGTATGCAATCAATTGTAAAGAATGTATTTGCATATTTGCATATAAAACTAAGGAGTTGGCAACTGAATATATATATATATATATATATATATATATGAATATATATATATATATATAGTTTGAGCACTCTGGCATGGCTTAGACGATACCACAAAGGTTGGATCGTTTGGGGTGACCATATTGGTTCTCCTCCATCCTAGCATTAGCACTGCACTGATGAGGCCCAGAAGGCCGAAACAGTACTGTCTGCAGTTAG